AGTAGAAGTAGACTTAGACTGAGAAGGTAGGAGGAGAGAGAGAGAGAGAGAGAGAGAGAGAGAGAGAGAGAGAGAGAGAGAGAGAGAGAGGAGCGATGGAGGAGAAGAGGGAGAGAAGGCGAAGCCTTCCTCCCTGATACCTGGTCCGTCGCTATGGCGCTGCAAGGGGGTGGGCCGGTAACTGGCGCTGCGCCCAAGTGCTGCGCTAATCCGCTCGCCGCTGGACTCTTTGCTCTCGCTGCTCCGTGCTTGTGAAGCAGCGCTGCGCTAAACGAGCTAACGCTGAAGCTGATGCGCTAATCCTGAAGACTAACCTCTAGCCTTACAAACCTTCCTACTGAGGCTGGTACCCAGCCTTTTGTAGTGCAGGGCCGGCCTCCTACCCGCTGGTACGTACCGGCCTGGACCGTTGATCCAGATCAACGGTCCAGTTTTAAAACTGGTTGGCGCCAAAACTGTGGCAGTCTCTGAAACGCTGTCGGCAGGTCCTAGGCTGGACCGATACCGGCCTTGTGGCCGTTTGGCCTGGGCCTGCCTGAACCGCCGTGGTCCAGGCCCATCTGGGCCTCATCTGAACCGTCGTCCCTTAGGCCTACCCTGCCTGTCTGGAACCGGGCCCTAACTGGGGCCCGTGTGGCTCAGAATGCCACAGGCAAACTGTTTCGTCGGAGTTTCACCTACTCATCAGGAGGCTGAACCCTCAACAGTCTGCAGAATCCCCTAACTAATTACACTGTAAGTGATAATCCACCTTAACCCCTGCTGTGGTTAAGCATCAGCGACTGCCCGACAACTGATACCCTGAGGTGGGCACCAACCACTGCCCTCAAGGTACCTGTGGCAAAAGTCAAAGCAGACTATCACTCATCCACACCAGATGGAAAACTCTACAGACTGTCGGATCACACCCCATCACAAGCAAGCAAAACATCCACGAAACAAAGAAAGGTCTGTCACAGCCAAAAAATACACTCCAGATATGCCGCTGGCACTAGAGGCACAGCATGGCCGCGTAGTGACGGCCCCGACCACTGCCGCTCGACCTGACCAGAGAATACCGTAGCAGGGTGCTATATATATATATATATATATATCGTCAAACAGAGAGGGGGCGGGCGCAGGGAGTGGAGCAGGAGGGGCAGTCCAATGCCCACTGAAAGTGAATGAAGTCATTTTTTCGTTTTTTTTTTTTTTTTGTTTCTTGTTTTTTAATATATTAAGAAATTAAGATCCATGCCGTTATCAATCTTCCCACTTACTGGATTGTTTAGCGTTTTTAATTGCTGACTCCTCCCCCCCCCCCCCCCCCCCTCCCCCCCCCCCCCCCCCCCCCCCCCCCCCCCTTCCCCCCCCCCCCCCCTTGATGTGTCTTTGGACATACAGGCCTGATAGATACGTTCCTCTTTTTGGAAGTATTTCTTACGATCCTGCCAACGAACGAGAATCTGTGCCTTTCGAAGAGACAGTGGGTGCAATCGGTGAGCTAATCCGAGGTAAGCAGTGATATCACACAATTGTTTCGTTTCGTAACTTTCGTTTAATTTGTTGAAGTCCGTCTGCAATTCTCGGAGGAAAGACAAAAGACACCATGTGGGCGATCACCAAGCTCTTTTTTTTTTTTTTTTTTTTTTTTTTTTTTTTTTTAAATGAATGAATCAATGAATCCGCTGGGGCCTGTTCGGTGCGGGTGGGGGTTGGGGGGGTGATAAGAGCACCTGCCCCCCCTAGTAGGCCCATTTCCCGCCGCTCCATCTATTGGTGGCGAGCTTCACTGGCTGGAAACTGGGTCCTGCGCCCCTTTGAAACATGAGTCTGAGCATGATTATGTACATGAGTATGGATTGTGGGCATGTGTTGAGCATGGTGTGGGGCGTCCAAATGCCTTCTGTACGTCTTCACCCTGCTGCAGCGCGCCAGGTCTGTGTTAATTACCTCTGCTACATTGCCCCCCTTGTTGACCCTTCTCTCTTCTCCTCCCGCCTCAGGCTGGTCGTTGGCCTCCCAGTTACCTACCCAGACCCCTCCAGTATCCCCATCTTTCCCCCAAACCCTAAACCCTCAGCCCTAGGTCCGCTGGAGCCTACCTTCAGGCTTCATCCCCCGAACATAACGCATATGCGTTGTAAATCAATACAAAGCATAGCCTGTGTTCTATTCGGATACAAGGCATGTGCGTTCTATTCGAATAGTCCTAATTTTCATATACAATGCATCTGCGTTCTATACGATTAAAAAAAAAAAAAGTTAAAAAAACAAATTCTTTGAATTTTTTGAAAACTCAAATACAATGCTAATGCGTTATGTTCGGGGGAAGAAGGTAGGCCTTCCACTTTATAGTCCTTAGACCCCGAAGCCCCTTATTCCCTGTCTGATTGTGCCACCTATTCTAATTCAGCCCAGCTTCTTTCCACTACAATATTTCTGATTTGGGGGCGGGGGGGGGGGGGGGGGGGGGGAGGAAGGGGTTTGGGACGTCCGAAAGGGGCCGGAGGTGGATAGCGGGGTCCAGTGTCGTCCAGTCGTGAAAGCATACTAAGGTGGGGGGGAAATGACGGGAACCAACCGGATATCAATCCCTGATCACATCCGGTTGGTTCCCGCCATTTCCCTCGCGAGGTGAGAGGGGCGCTGCAGTGGCCGCGGGCGCACGGCAGCCGTAGCCGGGGTGTTGGGGCGCAAGGCGGCTGATGGCGATGGCGGTCTTCGGGTAGGAGGCACATGCTGTGGGAAGACAGGGGGTGATGAGGGGAGGAGAGAGGCACGTACCTGGTGGATGCTGGCGGTCGGCATTGGTGATGCCGTCACGTACGTTGGTCTTCAGCTGCGAAGTGATTCCTGTTGCATGACCGTAGAGTAGGCTAGTCTAGTCTAGTGTGGTCTAGTCTGAGTAGAATAGGGTGGGCACTGAGTGCCAACCAGGAAGAGCAACATTGGATACTGTGTTGATGTGGCGAGAGAGTGTCGATGTTGACCTTTGAGTTCATTCAACTTCATTGTATTGCTCTTATTTGGCTTGTGTCTCGGTGCATTGTGCTTTCTGCTGGATTCTTAACTATCTGGTCTACATTGTGATTTTGCAATTTGGATTTCTGTCTATCGCTCTCGCACATATTTATTTAATTTTATTATTTTTTGCATTTGGCCTCTCGCTCATATTTCTTGCATTTGGCTGATCCAAAAAAAAAAAAAAAACGCCAAAGATGGCAGTGTCAAAAATGTGCTCACCCACTCACCATTTTGTTTCTTTTTCCCCTTTTTTCTTTTTCTTTGCTTTTTCCTTAAAAACCTTTTTAATGTGTGTGTGTGTGTGTGTGTGTGTGTGTGTTTGTGTGTGTGTCTGTGAGCGCGCGCGCGCGAGAGAGAGAGAGACAGAGAGAGAGAGAGAAGGGGGGGGGGGAAGTAAGCGAGATAGAGGGGGAGTGTGTGAGAGAGAAAGGGGAGGGAGAAAGTGAGAGAGGAGGGGTGTTTGAGTTAGTTAGAGAGAGAGAGAGAGAGTGGACACATAGAATGCACGAATCATCTTCCCAATGCACTCGACTCCGAACGCATACGTGAAGCAAAAGCAAGAGATCTTAAAAACTCGCACTCAAAAACTCACACTCAAAAACCTCCCGCTCACACTTCTTCACCTTTCAAGCACATCCTCCCAAGTACGCACTACCCCGACGCGTGTCGCTGTCGGCGTTCTTCAATAGACTCTTCAGGGGTCTATCCGCAAGGATACTCCATTCATGATGCTCTGAGAGTAGCATTGTAAATTTTGGGCTCTCTTGACCGTGTTGTATGTACTGTGTGTGCTTTCTATCCTCGGTGTGCGTCTTGATGGGATGGCTCAGCTTTGGAGTGTGCTCTGTGCGCATCTTTTTTTTTTTTTTTTTTTTTTTTTTTTTTTTTGTTGTTGTTGTTGTTGTGTGTGTGTGTGCTGTCTCTTATACACATCTAGATGTGTATAAGAGAGCACTACCCCGACGCGTGTCGCTGTCGGCGTTCTTCAATAGACTCTTCAGGGGTCTATCCGCAAGGATACTCCATTCATGATGCTCTGAGAGTAGCATTGTAAATTTTGGGCTCTCTTGACCGTGTTGTATGTACTGTGTGTGCTTTCTATCCTCGGTGTGCGTCTTGATGGGATGGCTCAGCTTTGGAGTGTGCTCTGTGCGCATCTTTTTTTTTTTTTTTTTTTTTTTTTTTTTCCTGTGTGCATCTTGATGGCTCTGCTAAGTCTGGGAAAATCCGTCATAATGTTGTATAATATTATAATTTGTATTTCTACATTACTTTTTTGTGGTGGTTGTTTTCACAAAAAAAATAAATCCTAGGCTAAAATATTTAATTTATTATATAATTTAATAATTTTTAAATGTTAATTTATTATGATAATTTTTGTTTTCTGTGCTCGTGCTGTCTTTCATTTGTATGGTGTTTCTTTTTTTTTTTTTTTTTTTTTTTTTTGTTGTTGTTGTTGTTGTTGTGGCCTGCAGCTGGTAAAATTCGTCACTGGGGAGTCTCCAATGAAACTACATTTGGTGTGTGTAGAATTGTAGAGACCTGCGATAAGTTGGGTGTACCTCGCCCCATCTCCATCCAGAATTCGTATTCTTTGCTTCATCGGCAGTTCGAGCATGAGCTGGCAGAGGCATGTTCGCTGTCGAATTATAACATTTCCCTGCTAGCGTGGAGCCCTCTCGCTGCTGGTAAGCGTTGTTTGTTTATTTATTTTAATTATTTAATATTTATGCATTTATTCTTCTTTTTTTGAGGGGAAAATTGTTCAAATGCCCCTGAAAGTTGTGGAATTCCGTTAGATATGCCTAAACGGCATGGCTATGGCAAAATGTCCCTATGACAATTGTGAAACTTTGCAAAATACCCCACTCGCCAATTGGACCTGTCATCTTTTGCGTATACCCCTACTGGGCCCTGGGCAATTTATCTATATGCCCCAACATTTCTTGCAGTTGGACCCTACAGATGGCAGAAAAAATGTGGCAGCCCCTCTAGCCTGGGGCCAGGGCATATGGAGAATTTGCCAATTACCGGGACGGGCAGATGCAAAAGTTGAGGGCATTTCCGCATACCTCTGTGTTTTAGGGGTATCTAACGAAATAACCCAACTTGTATCTATTTATTTGATTGTAACGGTGAAAGTCTTTGGCATTTCTTCATCTCAATGTGTTTCTGTTTTCAGCAGCAGGACTGGCGACTCTCTCTCTCTCTCTCTCTCTCTCTCTCTCTCTCTCTCTCTCTCTCTCTCTCTCTCT